CACTGGTGAGGAGTCACAGGAGCGTGGGTGTCAAAGGCAGCTGCGTCAGTGGAAGGCTCTCCTAGCATGGATGACCACTTACAAATGCTGCGTGCCTAGAGCTCCCCATCCAGCTTGCAGACAGCCCCACAGGAGAGTGTTCTCTCTTCTATCAGTTGTTTATTGTTTTTTTATAAATAAAATATTTTTAAATTTAATTATTTATTTAATAACCACATAACTAGAAGAAGCATTTCATTACAACCGCATTAACATATTCAATAACAATTTCCAGAGCTAAGATGCATCTTTTTCAAAATTGGCTGTAAATTTTTAGATTTACAGCTGAGTTAATATTGTACTCAATATAAACCCTATAAGACATAAAATTAAACGAGGTTTCAACCTTTAAAAAAGATCTCCATTTCATTATTATACAGTTTCATACAGAAAAATTCATTTTTAATGCAATTGACACTAAGATGTTTGCACATGCCAGTTGCTTATTGTTTATATGACCTTGTGAAGACTGTAACTTGCTGAGCTTTCTATACCTTGCTAAATTCATTAGCTTCTTGAGTTTTTGAACCTTGCTCTTCCCTTCAGGAAGAAATGTTCATAGCTAAGGAAATGGCTAACCAACATGTTCCATTACCTAGTTACTTCAAGGCTGAGATTTGGACCTGCAGCACAGGTGTCACTGGAGCACAGAAGAGGTCTCAGGCTGTATTTGAGCCTTCAGAGACAGCCTGCACTTTAACAAGATTCGTATGTCATTTGTGTGCACATTAAAGTTTATGAAGCCCTGTTCTAGAATTATATTTTTTATTATTTCTAAATTTTAAATGGAATTTTTGTGTATTTCATATGTAACATCTTAATCATCTTTATACCCTCTCCCCCACTGCCACCTTCCCATACCCCCCCAACTGGATTTCATGCATTCTGTCACTTGTGTTAAGGCAAAATTAGTGTTCCCAGAGGTCCCTCAGTGCAAGTTCATCGACTGAGGTCTAGTCAGCCTATCCTGAGTCCCTCCGTTTAAGAAGATCAACTCTCTCACTCAGCAGTAATCAGCTGCCAATAGTTTTTCAGCTAAGATTCAGGCCTGCTGCCCATTTCCACAATTCTATGCTAGGTCTTTGTCTACTTGAGTTTGCCTGGGTCTTGTGCATGTTGAAACTATTGCTGTAGGTTCATATGAGCAAGGTTCCAGAAACCTGTAAGACTCTATTTCCATACAGTCATGTACCTTCTCCCTGGTTCATAAAATCTTTCCACCTCCGCTTCTGCTGGTCCCTGAACCCTCGATGGGTAAAGTTTAATATAGGAGTCCTATCCAAGGACCCATACTCTGCAGACTCTTATTCTCTACACTTTGGCCATTTGTGTCCTTTTGTGTTCATGGTCCTCTGTTGCATGAGGGAGCTTCATTGACGAGAGTTGAGAGATACATTAGTATTCTCTCTATCCCTATGTTCTGTGAGCCTTAGATGTAGAGGTTGCATTGCAGATGTACCACTTAGGGTTAGGTAAATCACAGACAACCTCTGTGTGTGACTAGTTGTGGAACTCTGTAATAATCTCATCTGTTGAAAAAGAAGCTTCTTTGATGAGTGGTAACTGACATACTTGTCTGTAAATATAAGGATCCATATTTAGCACATAGTAAGAAATTACATTCGTCTAGGGATATGGCAACCTTGGGGTTTTCTCTAAGATCTATGACCTCTTCAGACATGTGTATTTGGCTTTGTTTATAGTACCACACATGAGTTTCTTTCCATTGAGTGTGGGCCTTAAGTCCAATTAGATAGTTGTTGATTAATCCCAAGATAAAAGTACCTCTACTAACCCAATATAATTTGCTGTGTGGGTCATTGTTGTAGTTATTAGGCCTTAAAGCTGAGGTTGGCCTATTGATTGATGTTCTCCCTTAACAGCTTGCATAGTGTTCTCCAAAACTGTGATAGCTACCCTTTCGGGGGAGGTGGCTTCTCGGTCAGTTCCAGCTCCATTGCTCCAAATTCTGTGTCCAAAGTATGTCCTGTTTTCAGCAATAGAGTCTTACCTTTAAGTTCTGGGAGGCAATCAAGGGCTGTGGCAATAGCCTGTGTAATTTTGCGAGTCTCTTGGACTTCTTTGGACAACAACTCAAAGGGAGGTTTCTCCTGCTGGGCACTGCTTCTGGTTTAAAAACCAGAGGGAATCATATTAGTTTAAAAACCTACTGGAAAACCACACATATGATATCTCTACATGAGTCCATATGTATAGCTGAAGGCTATTTAACTAGAACTAGATTTTAAAAATCAGACACTTGCAATTTTCACTCTTTCCAGGTTTGAGATACTTCCCTCTTCCACTCACTTGCTATACCAGGATCATTGGTTAAGTGGGTGGTCCACTAATTCTAATCTTGGTGTGTGTCCTCCAATGACCATTTCAGGTAAGCTGCCTTCAGCCAGTTCAGTGCAGCACTTGTCTTTTCCTGCCTGGGGAGGATGCTTCAAAATTGGGGTTTCTGTAGGAAGTAAGTCAATACTTTGTTCTGGCCCTGATTCTGTGACTGTGAATACTGTGGCTCTACATGCATTATCACATTAGTCCCCAGTGAACTTGTGTGAAGAGGCATCACTGCTGTGCTTGGAATATGGCCTGAGCTTCAAAGTGTCTTGTCCTGAAGCTTGGTCCCCAGTTAGGCCGTATGGAAAGAGTAGAACCTTTAAGAGGGAAAACCTACTTGAAGATGATTAGGTCATGGAGTTCTACCCTCACAGATAGATTTATACTGCTTTGCCAGAGATGGTCAGGTCTTCTGTGCCTGGATTAGTTCACAAGAATGGATTATAAAGCAAGGTCATTCCTCAGGCTTCATCCCTTCCACATGTGGCTGTTTCCCTTTTTGCTTCTCTGCCATGCTATGATGTAACCAGAGGGGCCCTTGACAGCTGCAAATACCATGGTGTTTAGACTTCCCAAGTTCCAGAATCATGAGCCAAGTAAAGCTCTTTTATTTATACAGCATGCATCCTCAGGTGTTTTATTATAACAATACCAGATAGACTAAGACAATCACCATGTCCATTTTTTATAGAGGAGGCACCCCCTCAAGACCTATGGCTAGAAAACTTTCTATAAAGATTAAGATTCTTAGTATTTAGCATCCAAGCTTGTGTTCCCAGGGTCATACTTAAGTTTTGTTTAGAGATAGGATCTCTCTCTCTCTCTCTCTCTCTCTCTCTCTCTCTCTCTCTCTTTCTGGTGTGTGCATTGGCAGAGGTTTATGTCAGTGCCTTCTTTGATCACTCTCTATCTTATTGAGGCAGGGTCTCTTACTGAACCTGGAGATCAATGGTTTGTCTAGGCCAGCTGGCCAGTGAGCTTCAGGGATCTACCTGTCTCTGCCTTCTCAGCACCGGGATTACAGACAGGTGCTGCTGAGCCATATAGTCTGTGTGGCTGCTGGGGATCTGAACACGGGTTCTCATGCTTGTGTCATGCACTTTACCAAATGAGCTATCTCCCCAACCCCAGAGGTAGGAACTCTTTAAATTCTATTTTCTTCTATATCTTCTAGTGATGTCTTTATCTGGGAAATAAAATAGAGATCACTCACAAGTAAACCTGCAAATTGAATCACTAAATAACTTGTGTTTGCTAAGGCAGGATGGAAGGTTGACATTGAAAGGTTTTAGACAGAAGGATCAGGGTTATCCAAACTTGTGATATATGTGTTGGGCATTCAATAATTTCCTGCCTATTTTCTCATCCCCTGGTATGTCTCCCTTTCAGCCTGGTGTTCTGAGAAGTCACTAATGTTTGTAGTGGAAGGAACAGGTGCTTCAATGCTGGGTAGTACAATGTCTTGTTTATACAAAGGACACTTGTATTTAAAACAGAGATTCAAAAGAATGAATCACTAATAATGGTATTTCAAATGTCAGATCACTAAGGTGGAATCAATTTTGACAAGTCCTGTCTCAGTGTCCCTCAAGCGACACTGTATTTAAGCATAAGCAGATAAAGTAAGAATCAGAGAAACTTCCATTTGGAGTCCTATGGCAGGCATGATAATAGGATTTAGAAAAAATTCTGTTTAAACTTTTGTTCTTATTTCTGTAGCTGTCAGCTGCAAACAAGTACCTTCAACTTCTTCCAGAGTAAAGAGGATAACTTTCAAAGCTCCTTGATGTTTATGAGGTAGTTTTGTATCATCTTAAGAAGTTTAATGGAAGATAGATAACATATATTTTTATTGCTGCCAGAAATTGATTTTTAGGGACTCATAGAGGTCAGAAATTTGGGTTTAAAAAAAAAAACAGTGCTGGGCATGGTGGCGTATACTTTTTTTTGGTCTTTTTGAGACAAGGTATCCCTGTAGCCCCAGCTGGCCTGGAACTCACTATGCAGACCAGGCTGGCCTTGAACTCACAGAGATACACTTGCCTCTGCCTCCTGAGTGCTGGGACTAAAGGGTGCATGCACTTTTAATCCCAGCATTTGGTAGGCAAAGGCAGGTGGATCTTTGTGAGAACAAGTCCAACCTGGCCTATACAGAGAATTTCAGACCAGATGGGGCTACAGGGAGCTCCTGCCTCAAAAAAAAAAAAAAAAAAAAAAAAAAAAAAGATAAAATTTAAAAAATATAAACAACAGTTTGGAAAAGCCACGGCATCTCTGATAGTAATTTGCTAAGTACTTGCTATTTGTCTGGCACTGTGCTGAGCAGCTTTCCATTTTCAAATCATGACCCTACTAGTAGGTTACTCTTTTGTTACTACCCCAATATAGGAGAGGAAGTTCAAGGTCACAGTTAAGTAAGTGATGGAGCTGGGACTTGAACGCACATTTCCTGGTTGCAGCTGCCATACTCTCTTGCTCTGTTGTCTCCTCACTCATGTCCAGACTGCCTCTGCTCTCTGTAAGGAACTTTCCCATGGAAGGGGAAGGCCTGTGCATGGCAGAAAACAAATAGGATTTTACTAAATATGCTAATGCATCTCTGTTTTGTTTTCCAGGTTTTGGAGGTGCCCTTGGTTACCTTTCTGGTGCCATAGACTGGGCTCATCTGGAACTGGGAAGAGTGCTGGGCACCGAATTCCAGGTCATGTTCCTCTTCTCTGCCTTGATGCTCACTCTGTGTTTTATTATTCATCTGTGCAGTATCCCTGAGGCTCCACTTACAGATGTTGCAAAAGACATTACCCCACAGCAAGTCCCTCAGGACCCTTCATTGTCATCAGATGGGACTTCTGAATATGGTTCTATTGAGAAAGTTAAAAATGGCTATGTAAACACAGAGCTGGCAATTCAGGGAGGAAAGAGAAAAAAACCTACTGAACAGGTAAAGATGCAAATTCTTTTTTTCTTTACTTAGGGGAAAATATTGTTGCTGTTCCTCTTTCTTTGAAAAAAATGTTTTTTTGCTTATTTGATGTGAAGACTTTGTGAAGTCTAATTGAATCTTCAAAACCTCAATTGCTATTATTCCATGGAATGAAAATTTTGTACCTCAAAGATAAATATATGCATTTTTCTCTAGTCCTCTTCTCTCTTTTTCCTTTCAGAGAATCAAATCAGGGATAAAAGTTTAAATCATGTGAGGGCCCTGGAGTCACCCTCAGGCCAGCGGAAATAGTTCCTTAGATAAGGATTAAAAACTATAACAGTGCTCCTCTAATGACAATGTCCTTGAGAACTGGATTGGACACACAGATTTTGCATATCACGACTGTTAGATATTCCTTTCAATCCACTTTCAGTGAACTGAGCAATGGATTCATTTGCTTGACTTTTAAAGAAAACTCAACTAAATGCCAGAGAAATGGGTCAAGGTTGAAAGGAAATGGTTAGAAAAGAGATTAAAATTATGTTGACTAATACTAACTACTAACCCTATGAAATATTTAATTATTAAAATGAAGTAAAATTGGGACCAGTTCATTAGTTGCATTAGCCTCATCTCAAAAGCTCAAAATCTACTTGGAGGCTTGAGGCTAACTGTCCAAGACACTGTCCATTATTATATAAAGTCCTCTTGAACAACAATGATGCAATAACTTCATATTTCTTCAAGCCGACTTAAATGTTCGTTTCTCAGGGACACTATATTAGTTACTTTTTTGTTGTTGTGATTAAACACCATGATCAAGGCAACTTATAAAATGAAGTGTTTACTTGGCTTATGGTTCCAGAGGGAGAGTATATAGTGGCAGGAAGACATGGTGGTGGCCAGAGCCAAAAGCTGAGTGCTCACGTCTTCAAGCATGCATAGGAAGCAGAGAGAAACAGGAAATCCACCAAGGTTTAAGAACTCTTGAAGCATGTTCCCAGTGATGTGCTTCCTCCAGCATGGCCATACTTCCTAAAGGGTTCATGAATGTCCCCAAACAACATCACGAACTGGGACCAAGAATATAAATACTTGGAGCCTATGGGGGACACTCATTTAAACTACCAGATACTGTACAAAGGATTTACTCATTAGCATAGGCATAGAAGACTTGTACGTGACTGATCTGTATTATTTATTCAACAAATAACTAACAGGCACTGGCTTTAGAATAGCCTAAAGATTTAGAGCATGTGTGTTCAAATTCTGGCTCTACTACCTTTTGTGTACATGACCTTGGGCATTTAGATTTTTGTAAAATGAGAAAGTAATTCTATCTACCTTTGGGAGTATAGTGTAGCTTACATGAGCTAATTCATGGAAAGTCATTTAGGGTGGTTCCCACTGTCCCAGTAAGGCTATAGCTTTAGTGTTGTTGTTATGAATCTGCCAGAATGCTGAGTGCTCTAAGTGCAAACAGGGCATGCTATCTAGGCTAATGACAACAAACTCAGTGAATTTCAGCTCCTTGTGAGGTCAATTTCTCTTGGCGGCTTAGCATATTTTCCAGAATTATTGTGATATTCAACTAACATAAAGACACAAAGGTGTTTTTAAAACTTTAAGTACATAAGTATCTTGTTTATAATCATTATTCATCCCATAAACTGTTTTGGGTCCTGAGTATGTGCAAAGCACTGTACATGGTATTTAGGGACCATGAAATTGGCTAATGTCTAGTCCCTGTGCCAAGGAGTTTATAGTCTAATGGCATGCGCCATTTATACTATTAGTACAAGGCACAAAATGGCTAATGCTATAAAAGCAATATATCATTAACATTTCCTAAAAAGCAGGGGCCAGGACAGAATTAAAATATACCAGAGATTCACTGGGTAACCCAGCATGAAAGATAAAGAGAGAAGTAGAAGTAGATCAGACAAGTCTTCCTATCAAGATATAAGTCACACACCTGTGAAAGGAGAGTGGGAAGGCAGAGTAGGAAGCCTCTCGGTGTTGTGCCACTCTAAGAGTTTCAGCAAGGTCAATCATGGTTTCTAGCCAATGGTGTCCCTAGGGAAGTTCCAAGTCTTATTGGAATAAGTTAACACTAGAAACTTCCATCTTGCTTAACAATCTAGAGAGAAAACAGACTGTTAGTCACCCATGTGTTCCCAGAAGGAGATAAAAATGGCACATTTCCATCATGTAGTGAGTGTCATAATAACAATTGCTGTTGGTTTTACGGGGAGAGACTATGTGTAAACAAACAGCATGACTTTATGAACAAAAGTCACCTTTTTAATATATATTTTTTATTGAAATTTTTTGCATTTCATACATCTTTTTTTGATTTGTTTTTATTGAATTTTTGTGTATTTTATATAGAATATCTCAAACAATCTTAATCATCTTTTAATCATCGTTATACCTCCATCCCCACAAGCACCCTCCTATAGCCACCTCCCATTGGAACCCATATACTCTGTCATCTGTGTTAAGGCCCAATGTGTCAGGTCAGTGACCCCAGACATTCCCCAGTGCAATTTCATTCACTGAGGTCTAGTCAGCCTATCTAGAGTCTCTTGTTTTAGAAAGATCAGCTCTTCCTCACCTAGCAGTAATCATTTGCCAATGTTTCTTCAGCTAAGATTCAGTTCTATGCTGGAGTTTTGTCTGCTTGAGTTTGCATGGGATTTGTCTATGCTGACACCATTGCCATAGAATCATATGAGCAGACTCCCAGGAGCTTGTAGGACTCTGTTTCCATGTGGCCATGCACTTCCTCCCTGGCTCTTACAATCTTTCTGCCCCCTCTTCTGCGATGGTCACCCTCTTCAGCCCTGCATGGGTGAAGTTTAATATAGGAGTCTTGTCCAAGGACTAGAAATCTGCAGACTCTTAATCTCTATGTTTTGGCCCTTTGTGACCTTTTGTGCTTCTGGCCCCCCGAATCTCTTAATTCTCATTAATGAAGATCCCTCACACAATACATCTTAATAATATTTAGACCCCTCCCCCATCCACCCCCTCTACCCAGCCCCCACTGAATTCCATGTTAAGGCTTATCAAGTCAAGTTTATGTACCCAGATATCCCTCTGTGTGTGAATTTATCCACAGAGCCTGGTCAGTTTATCTAGGACCACTCCCTTAAATATCAACTCTCCCTCACCCAGCTTTATGTTGGGTTTTTGTCTAATTGAGTTTGTATGGGTCTTTTGCACACTGTTATCATTGCTGTAAGTTCATATGAGCAAGTCCTCAGAGGCCTGGAAGACTCTGTTTCCTTATGATCATTCATCAAGCCTGACTCTTAACAATCTTTCCAACCCCTCTTCCACAATGGTTCCTGAGCCCTGAGTGGGTGAAGTTTAATAAGGAGTCCTCTCCAGGAACACACATTCTACAGTCTCTTATTCTCTACATTTTGGCTGGTTGTAGCCTTTGAGTTGTACCTTGAATAATGGTTAAGATTTGAACAGGTAGCAATTTGGGGATGGACACTCCTGGTGAAGAGAGGAATATCAGCAAAGAAACAAAACAAAACCAAAAAGGCTTTACTACATTTGGGAGAAGAATAGGCAGTAAAATTGAATGCAGCTATTTTTATATCAGATAAAATAGACTTTCAGTGAGGAAGTAACTTAGTGCTAGAGCAGTTTCATAGTATGTGCGAGGCCATGGGTTGCTCTCCAGCTCCACAAAAATCGATTAAAAGTTCCAAAAACTAAAAACAAGATGATAGTTATTAATGATAAAGGGGTCAACTCACTAAAATACATAACCATTGTAAATATGTAGGTCTCAGAATACACACACACACACACACACACACACACACACACACCCCACATATATATGATTAATAGATCTGAAGGGAGATTTACTGTAATACAGTGATCATGGACACTTGTCCAGGCAGAAAATCAATGAGGATGTATGGGATTTGAACTACATTTCAGACAAGGTGGATCTAATAGTAAGAGAATACACATTCTTCTCAGTGAACAAGAAATACTATCTAGACTAGATCATAGCCCACAAGTAAGTCAGCACATTTAAGAAGATTAAAATCACATCAAGGATCTTTCCTGACTGCAACACATGAAACTAGAAATCAATAATACAAGGAATTTCAGAAAATCTGCAAATATATAGAAATTAAATAACATTCTCCTAAAACCAATGGGTCAAAGAAGAAGGTAAGAGAGATGAGAAAATATCTGATGCTTTGTGTTCAGCTTAATAAAATTCCATTGATGCCTACCAAGCATGTAAAGAAATATTGCCAATTCTCATCAAAGTCTTTTAAAAATCCAAAGGAGATAAAATTTCTAAATTCATTTATGAGGTCATCATTACCTGATACCCAAGGCAGACAATGACAACAAAATAAATAAAAGAATTATCACATACCAATATTCTTGATAAACACAGATGCAGAAATCCTCACCAAAATGCCACTGAACCAAAGCTCAGCAATACATTAAAAGGATCATTTACCATGATCAAGTGAGATTTCCCCCTGGAATGGAAGGATGGTTTATAATGCACAAGTGAATAAATATGATGCAATATACCACAGTAATACAGTGAAGAGCTAATACCATGTGATCATCTCAATCAACATGGAAATAGAGTGAGGCAACATTCAACATCCTTTGGTTGAAAACTGTCTGCAAATTTGTTAAGGATACCTGTCAGTTTGATTTAACATAGTACTAGAGCGATCAGTGAAGAGGAAGAAATAAAAAGCATCCAAATGACATGAAGAACTAAATTGTCTCTGTTCGCAGAGGATAGGATCAAGTATTTATAAAATGATAGACTCAGCCTGAGAACTATTAGAATAGGTAAATGAACTAAGTAATATTGAGGATACAAAATGATATGCAGAAGCAGTGTAAATTTACACAAACATCCAAAACTGAAATCAATTTATAAAAGCTACAAAAATGCTTAGAAATAACTTTAACCAATATCTGTACTTAAAAACCATAAAGCGATGATG